TATTATTACTATCATCATTATTATTATCACTATTGTGGAATTGTCTCGTAGCATCATCATAATTACCTGATTCTGCGACCTAACTATCAAGATATTCTTACCTACCTTTTCAAAATTTTCTCCATCTTTATTAACAGCAATTTCGTTCCTCCCCTCTTTACTAATAACCATAACTTTTTTCCTTTCTTTTTTTCTTTTCTTTTCCTCTTTTTTACATTTAAGGCCATGCCGTAGTCTTGGCATGCTATTGCACTTTTGTTGAGTAGGTTTTGTAGGTCTTCACTTTCAATAAAAAGAGCTTTATCATCTGCAAATAGTTTATATTCATGTCTAATACCATTTTCTCCTGTCTCTGATCAAATATTCACTGTATAGATTGAATAAGATAGGAGACAGGGTGCAGACTTGTACTAATGTCTTTTTTAGTTTACACTTGGTTTGTTTTTTTAGTTTTTCAAATCTTTTAATTATAATTGTTTGTTTTTAGTACAGGTTAACTATGATTCTCATTTGTTCGGGGATATTTACTTTTTGTATTCTCTTTATTTTTTTCGTGATTTATTTTGTTAACAGCTTCTGTATAATCTGTGAAACAAATAATTTTTTTTTATTTTTTTCTTAAAGCGCTTCAAGTACGTAGATGACTTCCCTTGTAACTCTACCCTAATTGCCCTAATTATTGATTATTATTACTGTCCTAATCATTACTGACAGATCCTTTCAATACTTGGCTTGCTCTTTATGATGATTATTCGTATTTCTGTAACATGTGATAAGGCTAAATGTCCTGTGATCACTGCAATCCATAGCTTTGTTAATCATAGGATAAAGATGCTTTTCATGCTTTTATGTTTACAAATTTCTGCATTCTTTTACTCTTATATGTTGCAAGAATTCTGCATGTATGCCAATATCTACAGGTACTTTGTTTTTTAGCAAATTCTATATAACTCCTATAACTTTCCATTTCTCGATCTGTACCAAATCACTTCTGTTGTTTGATAGGCCTCGCATTTCAGCACCACTGTCGTTGTATAGTTCCTTCCCAATGTATTTTTCCCATATGCCCTTAATCCGTTCTTCTTCAAAAATTAACGGCGTTCTTCTTATTAATTCCTATTATATTATACGTTTTTCATTTCTTTGATCTAAAAAACTTTTGTCTAGCCTTTCAGATTCTTCACATTTTGTTTGGAAATATCTTTAGCATTTTTACATCTTTTAAAGATTTCTTGAACAATTGTACCCATGATTGGGGTCGCCTGAACAAGGTTGGGAACCACTGTATTACACTTCTTTCTATATTGTTTTGATAGCGTAGTGCTCACTCACTATTCGTTTTTTTTTTTTCTAAACCTCTCATTATCATCTTAAATTTGGTTTCTGTTCTAATAATGATTGGGTTGTGATGCAAAGTCTGCCCCTAAGCTACTTTTGGAGTTTTATTTACTCTTTCTAAATCTGTTATTTGCCAAGACCTTTAATAGTAGGTTTGCTGGCTGTAAAATCTCATATTTCTTTGCAAAAAGTTTCAGATATTCTTTTGATGTCCACTATCATTGTGTTTATCTCTTGAATTACATATGCTAGCCTTCCAGGTTGTACTAAACTTCTAACATTCTATGTAACAACATTATAACAGTAAGATGATAAAGTAAAGGCTTGTCTGCCATGCCACAAATATCCCACCGAGCTGACCTACGAGAACTGTTAGCACTGGCAACCATTTTACCAGGGTGTGAATCATTACTGTTCGCCATTTCAGTGTTGCATGAGGGTTTTTACGTGCACAGGGACCCCTAAAATTTCCGCTGACTGCCCTGGTCCTACCGGCCGTTGTCCAAAGAATCATCTGCTCACTGGATTTAAGAAGTGCAGTCGTTGACCAGGAGGTTTTTCCGCCTGTATCCTTATGGCAATTAATGACCGGTTGAGAGCTGTGTCAGCAGGGAGGCAAATCAGGGCCTACACCTTGCCTAGAGTGTCCTGGACGTTGGTGGCGAGCAGGGGCGTTTCACGATCCCACTCATGCTCTTAGAGACATGCCACTGCCCATGTGTGTGTGTGTGATATATAATATATAAATGTGTACACACTCACGCACACAATATTTGATATACATACATAGATTTGATAGGAATAGCAGGAAAAGTATCTCACAACGCCAAAACCAATAATTATGTAGTAATTATGGTAGCTGCCATACGCTTAACAGCAAAATCAAAAACATAAACCTAGCAGTGCAACAATTACACGTAAAAATAAGACTTTTTTGTATTTTTCGAGCGAGTCTTCCCATTGCAGACTCGGGTGTTCACGCCTTAGAAAATAACAAAATCTCTAGCTTAATACCTTCACTGACAGCTCTGGCCTCTTTCGTTCTCCTGTGGTACTGGGGTGGTTCCATTTTCCCTCTGCCTTTGTTTTTTGTATATTTATTTTCACGTTTTTCAGCTTGTATTCCGTGTTGTTTTTGAAATTCAGTTTGGCATTTTTGTTC